TTCATTGAAGACGAAGCTGGCATTTCAGACCCAGCTCCACACTTGTGATTCGAGATTTTTCAATAGTTTTAACACATAATGGTTGTTACGTAGCCATGAATGGAAACCATTCCATCATTAAGTTTCCGAAGACAAAAGTAGCAAGACGACTGACCATCTAGGGTAGACTTTGCAGTGAAGTAGTCGTGAGATCTACATAAGTTTTTGGTTCTCGATGTGTGATTTTTGTTTTGGGTTCGTTATGCACTTATACCCCTTAAAGTGCCCTCAGGTGATGAAATTAGTGAAAATTAATGAATTTTCAAGACAGCGACAAAGACAATATTGATGAGAGTGTTGATCGCGTTTGATCGGACACTGATGATGAACAGAACGAAATTTTCTAAAAGTAGCAGTCACTCACGTTTCGTAGACTTAAAAACCTTAATGACGCAGTTGTAGCCAGGCCTGAGAGATCCGCTTCCTCTTCAACGCTACAAAATGCTATGAGTCGCGCGCATGATCAAGAAAGAAAATTTTTGCTTTTTTTTAAATGAGGTCAAGGAAATGAACAAAGCCACAAAATCTCGGGTTTATGACTAAGATATTCATAAAGTTATGAAAAGTTGGAAGTGGGCGCCGGGCCTATCAGACCTGTTCGTCGTGCGAGGGCTAAATCTGAAAGTAAAACGCGCAACTATTTGCACGGAACTTGTCGGATGATTGTGTAATGTTGGGCAAATGAAGAATTGTGTTTGAAAAAGAAAATTCCTATCATAGAATCGATAAAGTACTATTCGGTTGAATTTTCCATTTCATGATTCAACTGTATTTCATGTAGACCCCTCTATTTCTATGCAATTATTTCTGCACTCTTTACGAGTGTTTGTTGGGGAGCAACTTTTTGGCTGATGAGGGCACTCTCGACTAAGGCTTTTACTAAAAATGGGGAATATGGAATCGAACAAACAGGCATGGTCTAGATTCGCCGAATCGAACCAGACATTCGATTCGGTGAATTTATGGTTCACTTTTGCCATATCTGCAAACATATCCCTCGTCTTGGACCCTCAACTGTGTCCAACATAAGATTTCGTCGTTCTGGATGCTCAACTGCGCTTCGGTTAGCACCACAGTGTTCACCAACCTATCCTAAGCGATTTTTTCCAATATTGCAGTAACAGAATCGAAAAACCCCGCTCCTTCGATGACGGGTTTGTTTTTCACCCCTCGTACGCCTAATCCTGTGTCTAAACCTAAGCACAAGTTTGAACATAAGCGTGGGTCCAAGCCTTTATATTAACAGGAGTTTGATGCGAGCGGATCAAACTGAAACAATCCGCTGTGACCGTACGATCTTTACAGTTCACCAAAGAAGACGCCCTTTTCGCCTCAGAATCGGAATATTCACAGTTCCCGCCACACAAACACGCATTGTGCAAATTCGTAGTTATCGGAGAATCCCTGCGGGGAGCTTGTCCTCCCCGTTCGGAAAGAATTGGCTGGGACGAGACTCAGACAATAATCTGGGGAACGAATCAACACGGGGGGTGGACCCCTGCGTTGAGGGATTCGTTCAGGAGGGATAGGCAGGACCCCAACCGAAACATTGAAGAACCAAACTGTTGGGGAATTGTTCCCTATCGAGGCCCCGTTCTCCGTCAAACACTATTCGTTACTGTTAACTCAGATCTTAGGTATATCTGCGGAATAAGTATCAGAGGAGATTTATTTGAGAGGAATTTCAACCTTACAAAATAATATAATAGAATTTCCAAGAACTCCAAAGGTGGATCTGATTTCATTGCAGTCGTTGATTAAATGATACCTCATCAAGTTAACAAAAACCTTCACCTTACCTTCTTTCACGGTCAAATTCTTTTACGAACAATCGTACCGAATTATTTCTTCGCTTATTACTCATTCAGTAATAATAGACTGTTGCTGTAGTTAAAACAATAATTATATGATAAATGTTAAAAGAACTGAAAATATCACAAAAATGAAACGATTTTTCCCAGTTTACAAGTTTTTTTTTCACAAATTTCTGACTGCTTGAATGAGCTGTGTTATTTGGGCAGCCAAAGTTGTACTTCGGCTGGTTAGCGTCTTCATCGCATCAGAAGATGAAGCATTTTCCAACACTCTCACTTCCTCAACCAGTGCAAGTGTCTCGATCAATGATTTCAACATCTGAAGTTTGACCTCAATTATATCGAAAAAATGAAATATTTTAATACGATGAATTTGTAGTCATAAGTGGTTTGTATTATAGTTTTTGGTTTCATCTCTATGAGGATCACTAGAAAACAACGACGATTTGATGCTGATGAGTAGTTCTACCTAACGAAAACGTTATGTGAGTTAGTAATTGTTCATAATGATGATTATATGCGACGAGGTGAAACAAATAAATTGTAAACGGTGCTATGAATAGTGTACATCATAAATAATATTAAAAGTATAAGAAGAGGATCATTAGAATCAAAAAGACCTGATCAGTTTTTGCGGTCATCAGCTGTGCACTAAAGACCGAATTTGAATGTTGTATGATTTGTTGAGTGGTCGATGTTAAATGGTCAGCACTTTCGACAATCTCGTGAGTGATCGTGGCCAGTTGCCTTTCCTCTTCACCGTTCACTGCTCTCACCAATGCCTTCAAATATCTTAAATTACTTACTCGATATAAAACTACCAAACGATCGCAGATACTCTCGTCTAAAGAATGTTTCTCATGAACTGTTCAACAGCACGAAATTTGGAGTGATTCGTTTCACCAGTAGCACGTTGTCATGCTTCATTATCGAAAAAATTCGGTTTTTACCTGAAACGACCGAGATCACATGCTCTTGAATGAAAGTAAATCACACGAAAGATAGGATGATCAATTAATTCATTCTTTCTATTACCACGTGCATCGTTGGCAAATCACGTTTTGGAAAGTGGTATTGCAGCTAAAATAAATGGATCGCATGCAAAGAATTTGATGTATGTTTGTGGCTAACCTTGCAAGCTCCGGCCAAACGACGACTCTCATTCAATAGATCCGTCTTCTCACTCTCGACACTGACCTTCTTTTTCGGCGATTGATTCGGAATGCTGTTCATTGTTGCGTCGAGACGACTTCTCATACCTTCCAATCTGTAATTCAACATTCGTCAAAGTTGCTCTTGAACAATCGCACATTTGTTACTGCCACTTTTCCGATAACTCGTACGCGAAAATATGACAGACTTCGTTGGTTTCCGATTCGAAATGACCACTCACATGTGCAAATCATCTTACAATTTAAGCAACCGCACAAAATGATGTCTTTACTATTGCTCCGTAAATGGTCATTTGAAAAAAAAGTGGAACCTTTCTGAAATTTTTATAGAATTCATTTCTTCGATAGCTTCGTCGTCCAAAGATGAGTGCTCGAATGGAGTGGTGGTATCGGTATCGGTATCGGTATTGTCTGCTTTTAAATCTCTCGGAATCACCGATCTTCTTCGTGTACTATACGTATCGATCAAACTCGTACTTGCGGTTTTTGACTGCTTCGTGAGCGGCGTATTCTCTAAGATCGCACTTCTGAAAATGATTTCCATACTAAAATATCAGCAATACACATCTGAGTGCTCAAAGGCATTTAAGGCATTATCTGAACGTTCA